TCCGGGAATTGTAGTAGCATATCCTTGTCCTATTTAGGTCTCCTTACCTATTTAGCTATCCTCTATATCTCCTCTAGTTTCTTTATAATTATTCCTATTATAGATCTCTATTCTTGTATCTTGTCTTTCTTAATCTAGATCTTCTTTTCCTAGTAGGCTTTATTATAGTTGTCCTATGCTTCCTAGGTATAGGTTTATATCTACTGCCTCCTAGCCTTCCTTACTACTTTAACCTTCCTTATATACTTACTAGTCTAGTATAGTTGCTAGTATAGTAAATGTTTCTTTACTAGGGTATGCTTTCTAGCTACCTATTTTAGGATTCCTATTAGTTCTTCTACTGCCTTATTAATGTCCTCTAGCCTTAGTAGGTACTTTGTTAAGAGTTCCTCTAGTTTTAGGTCCCTTTCTAGTTCCTCCCTAATCCTACCCTATTAGGTACCTTTCTAGTTGAGCTTCTCCTCTAGTTCCCTTTCCTAATTGGCTTAGATATTCAGCTCAATCTATACCGGGAAGTAGTCTAATAATTCTTCTAGTTCCTAGTTAACCCTATATCTTATAATCCTGTTCCTAATCTAATATAATATAAAGTATAGGTCTAGTATGCTACTGCTTCCTCTTGCCTCCTAAGTAATTAGTCCCTTTAGGGTAACAATTTCTATTCCTTCCCTCTCTAATATGTTAATTAGTCTTCCTGCTAGGAAGTAGTAAGCTAGGGTAAAGTCTAAGCCCTAGAGGGGGTAGTAGAGGTTGAAATCCCTAAGTAGGATTTAGTAGGTGTTCCCCTAGATAACTCTAGGTAGTCTTTCTAGGGTTTTTAGTTAGGTACTGCTTCTTAAGTCTAGTAGTAGGTTATATATATAGTAGACTTAGAGTATACCTTAGGATGTCTCCACTTAAACTAATATTAGGTCCCTATCCTCCTATAGTATAGCCTGCTAGGTTTCTGTATCTATCTCCTTACTAATATAGATATATGTCCTTAGGGCTCCCTAGTTATAGATGTTGTAGATAATTAGGTAGTATCTTGGGTCTTTAACTGTTGCTAGTCTCTTTGTATATAGGTTGAGCTAGGGCTCTTAGATTGCAATAATGTAATGTTCTTTTAGGTTTAGTACTTAAAGGAAGCTCCTCTATACCTTATCTTTGCTCTTGTTGATATTGTACTATATAATGTTTAGTAATGTTGCAATGTTTATTAGGTTTTATCTATATTATTTCCCTATAAGTTTTCCTTTAGTCTTCCTTTACTTTAGACTAATATTTGACTAAGCTTTGTCTGCCCTGCTTCCTTTCCTGTAATGTTAAGGTATCTTAGTCTCCCTAGTTGCTAGTAACTCTCTTGTGCTAGTAAGGCCCTAAATGTAAACCTATTATCTTGCCTAGACCTCTTTTGTAGCACTTAGCTAGGTTGCTTCTATACCTAGCTGCCCTAGCTTATTATATATCTTTTTAGTATATTGATTCTAGCTTCCTTTGCCTTCCTAGCTGCTTATATTCTTACTAGGCATTCCTTCGCCTAAGAGGGGTGTCTTTTAGTGCAGTATATATATCTTGCTTCTCCCTTGTATGCTTTGCATTCTTTGACCTAGTAATCCCCTATATAATAGGAGCAGGTGTTAGTTGTCTTTATATACTTAGCTGCTAAGTATCTATAGTATTGACATTTAAAGCACTGCATTATCCTATAGTTGCTTCTATGTATCTCTGTTTCTAATCTTTTAAAGTCCTAGAATAACCCCTAGTCTAGCACTATATTAGCTTGCTCTGCACTCCCTACCTAGATAATTAGGGAAGACTGCTTCTTAGTCTCTTCGATTTTCCTTTTAATCTATACTACTTTTGTAATCTTTAGGCCTAGGTATATAGCTTGGTTTTGTCTCTATAGGCTCTTAATATCCTGTTCTTCCTTAAAGCTTCTTGTTATACTATAGGCTATAATTATAAATTGCTATTAGGAGACCTTTGCTGTTTTCCCTATCTTAGTTGTCTATTCTTTTTGTGTTTCTAGCTTCTTTTTGTCCTACTCTTGTACTATAAACAGCTTAATTACCCCTTTACCTTCGTTCCTAGCCCTAATTACCTCTTTAACTGTAATTCTTTCTATAATCTCTTTCCCTATAAGTCCTTAGATTTCCTTTTGCTCCTATAGGTCCGTAATATAGACTCTAACTACTGTCCTCGGGGGTTTTAGCGCCTCCTAACTAGCTACTACTACCTAGATACGGTAGTTTGGGCTTGTCTCCTATTGTTTCTTCGTAATCTTTACTACGACTGTATTAGCTACCTTTGTAATTACGTAGCTTGCCTAGTTGTAGATTGCTTTTAGTCCTCTAAGGAGTTCTAAGATTATTATCCTATATGCCCTCTTAGGGGTTCTTCTGTCTTCTGCCTTTAGCACCTCTTCTGCCCTAGTATATAGTGTTTTCTATTCGTCCTCCCTTCCTTCTTGACTATCTTCCCTTCGTCTCTAATTGTTCGCTGCTATTTTTTATAAGCGTAAATAATACGCTCCGTAGTAGTATTATTAGTCTCCCTAGAAACTATTAGTACTAGGTAGTATAGTAGTAATAATCCGCTAAGTCTAGTATCGTAGAACGAATTCTTTAGATACTATATTAATATTAGTAGTATTATCTAGCAAGTATTCGATAGTAACTTCCCCTTATTACGTTACAATTGCTCTATATACCCGTCCTATAGGTACTACTACTAGTAAGCTACTTTATTAGGATTTAGTACCTATCCCTAGCTCTTAGGAGGTATCTTATCTTTTACCTTAGCCTCTGAGTTATTCTTCTTTTCTTTAGCGTTAGTGGCGACCTTATATACCGTAGGGTTATCGTCTTTCTAGAGATAGCGGTTCGGGTATATACTCTTATAATAGCCTTCCTATTAGTAGCTATAATATTCGACCTTAGTAATATCGTACCTACCTTACGAGTTATCGCTCCTAGTACACTTCCCGCCTACTCCGCGGTCGCGATTCGACTAGAACTTATAAGCGTAACTATTAGATCGACGCTTCTTACTTTTAATACCTCTAGTTTTATCGTAATTACGATCCTTGCGTTTACTAGACGGCTAATTAGGGGTCTCGATACGCGTCGTAAGCTCTACGAGTTCGTAACGCGTCGTTAGTGCTGTATAGTATTTAATAATCGCGCTACGAATCGCTAGCTAGATTTTAACGAGAAGGTAGCGAATCCTATACTCCTCGCTATAGTCGCTAAGTTAATCTTCGAGTACTACGAGCTTAAGGGTAAGGCTTTAGACTAACTATCCCTTACGCTAACGGGCTGCCTTATACTCGAGGGTTATATTAAGTATACGGTTTATAGGGTCCTTAACGAAGTCTCGATAGAAGGTTTTAAAGTCCTAGTAGGTATAATATTATAGGTTGTTAAGGCTGTTTTTATTATGCTATCGCTCCTATATATCGCCTACGAGGTATATAATATTATAAAGTACCTTGCTTTCGTCCGTATAATATATAGCTCTAGATAGCGTAAAGGTAATAGAAAGTTCTTAGAGGAATCGCCTCGACTCCTTAATTATATCGCCTTTAAAGGGCTTAGGTTCCTTTAGGCGAGGCTTAATAGCCGCAAGACTAGCGACTACGTAGCTTATACTAGGTATAGTAGCTACGATTAGTACGCTCCTAGAAAGAGGTAGTCGGTAAAAGAGAGACTTAGCTCCTTAGGATTTAGGTCTTTAAATCGACTCGTTAGCTAACTCTACCTTATCTTCGTTATCGTCGTTACCTAAAGAAGGGGTTATTAAAAGACCCTCGCTAGCGGTACCGCTACTCGGAGCCTATATATCGCCGGCGTCCCTAAAAGTATAAAGACGCGTATTCTCTCGCTTAGTTTCTTAAGGTTATACTTCTAGCCTAAGTATCTCTTACTTAGCTAGAAATCGTTCGAGCCGTAGACGGGTTACTTCTTAACGCGGCTAATATTCGGCTTTATATTATTATATCGCTACGTTGTTTTCTAATACTACCGGCGCTCCTAGTATATTATTCTATAAAGTTCCTATAACTAGCGCGTTCGGATCGCTTACGTTTATCTTTCGGGGTTCTATAGGCTACTACGAAGGGTAGAGTATAGACAGTTTAGATCTATTAGAAAATGGGTCTATAGTAACGTATAGAATACCCTCTACTAATCGTAGTAGTAGATAGTAGAACTAAACTATGCCTTTTTAAAGAATAGGGTAGAGTATTTACTATTAACTAAGCTCGATAGCCCTATACGGCTAGTATATCCGCCGAGCCGGCTACTAAGTATCTCTATACGAGCTGCTAAGTACTATCTCTACTTATACGCTAGGTAGGCTTTACGCTAGCGGATTAGTACTATAGTATACGTAATATATTATATAATTGTTATATAGGATTTGCTAAGGCAGGATAGGAGACTTTACTAACTTAGGTTCTTATAACTTAAAACCTAAGATAGGCTTATATACTAGTACTATTATAATCTGTTTAGATCTTTAGGCTATTACTTTAGTTCTATATTTAGCTATAAGCCTTTACTACTCTATTTAAACAAAAAAAAACTAGGAAACTAGCAAACCTTAGCAAAATCTAAGTAGTAAATGCTAGTAGTAATAAATTATTAAAAGTTTTTAATTTGTTTAAATTAATAAAAGTCGATAGTAGATAGTTACTCTATATTTAGGAATTGCAATTTCAAGCTAAAGAGATTAGATAGAAACTTTATTATAATATTAGCTTTCTAAGTTTTCTGCTAGGCGCTAGAAACTATTTGAATTTTTGGAAGAGGTCTGTGCAGCCGAGATACAATACGCCTCTTTGGTGGAAAACCAGCGATCCTGCGAAGTTTCTTCTGTATTGCTGCTTTAGACATTGCCTTTGAATCCTGCTTTATTGATAGCCCATTAGGATTCCTGGATTTCATCGCTGTCCTCATTTGAGCGAGGAAGATGGCGTCATATTGAGGGCCACACACTACCAACTGCGACCCAGGAAAATGGAAGGGCAAAAGACAGATGTCGATTATCTGCGAGGCATCGTGGACATGGGCTCCAATGGCATACGATTCTCGATATCCAGTCTGCAGCCTCCAACAGAGCGAATAATGCCAACATTGTACCAGCACCGGGTGGGCATTTCGCTTTACGATGCGCAGTACCAGGGCAACGCACGGGTGCCGATAGACGACAAGACAATTGCAGCTGTCATAGCAGCATTCAAGCAGTTCAGGCGAACATGTAATGATTTTGGCGTTCATGATCGGTATATTACTGTCTTGGCCACCGAAGCCACAAGGACCGCGATCAACTCCGAAGACTTCCGAAAGCAAATCAAGACTCATCTTGATTGGGACGTGAGTATGCTTCCAAAAGAAGAGGAAGGTAGAGTAGGTGCGATGGGAGTAGCGAGCTCTCTGCCCGCGCTTGGTGGGCTCGTCATGGACCTCGGAGGCGGCAGTACTCAGCTTAGCTGGATCATCAAGAACAGTGCCAGCAATGGTGTTCGACTGCCAGAGCCAGGTGCTGTGAGCATGCCTTACGGAGCGGCTGCCATGTCTAGGCGACTCGCCGAGGCAGAAGATGCTGGGAACATAGCAGCCCTCAAGAAGGAGATCACCGATGCCGTCCGGGCTGCCTATGCAAGTCTGAAAGTTCCAATTGAGCTTGAGCAGATTGCAAACTCGCAAGGTGGCTTTACGCTTTACCTCTCCGGTGGTGGCTTTCGGGGATGGGGGTATGTGCTCATGAGCCAGCATCCAGTCAGCCCGTACCCCATTCCAGTCATCAATGGCTTCAAAGCCAGCAGAAACGAATTTCTCAGCACCGACCAAGTGAAAGCAGCAGCCGCCGAATCTCTTGAGCACACAGAAGATGGTGATGTGTTCCGAATCTCAGAGCGAAGAGCTGGTCAGGTTCCAGCTGTAGCGTTTCTGGTCAATGCCCTCGCGGAAGCTCTACCACACATCAAAGAAGTGAGATTCTGCCAAGGTGGCGTGCGTGAAGGCTATCTGTTCTCGTCAATCTCTGCGGAAGCAAAATCTGAGCAGCCGTTAGTGGTCGCCACGAGACATGTTGCAAAATCAATCACTACAGACGCCCTCGTAAACCTTCTGCAGGACTCGTTGCCTCCAGCAGCGAGCACAGGGTCAATTGACGATTACAAGAGCGTCTTCATTCCCGAGCTTCTGGAAGCATTCGCTAATCTTATGTACTATCACTCTAGCCATTCAAAGGACCTCCAGTCCTCCGCAGCGCTTCGCATCTCTACGGCGGGAGTTCTCGCTGGTGTACATGGAATCACACACGAGGCAAGAGCCCTGATAGCACTTCTCCTATGCGCTAGATGGGGAGCAAGCATTCCCCCGAGTGACGAGCAATTCAAAAGAAACCTGGAACAGCTTGTGGATGCTCCGTGGACGCTATGGTGGATCAACTACCTTGGCGCTGTTGCGTCTTTGATTGCGAGTATCTACCCAGCTGGCATCGTCCGAAAGGAGAGATTAGCACTGAAAGCTCGCTGGGCTAGCGATGACAAGAATCGGCGTGTTCTGGCTCTGAAAGCTATCGTCTCGAATGAGGCCGACCAAGAGGCATTTGATCTGGATGCACATGCTATAGAAAAGACTGGGAAGCGGAAAAGATGGATCGGCGGCAGAGATGGCATTGGTCACCGGGTGAATGTGGAAGTGACTCGCCGTTCTGCTTGAAATAGCATTGACTCGAAGGGCGAACAGAATCCCCGATTTCAGGCGTGAGCAATCCTTGATCAAGGGTGGCATCATACTGATCATCGCGAGTAAGAGGCCATGACGGCCAGCTGGAATGATTTGGTGTAGGAGAGCTTGCGGCCTCTTTTTCAGCTGCATTCATGCCCGGGAAGGGACGGCGCAGGATGTCTTCATCGTTGCGAAAGCCGTGACGGCCAGATGACCAGAATCAGTGACGAGGGTACGGCAATGGATCTCTGGAATTGTGGAAAGTGCCTCTCCATAATGGAACATGATATCCTGCCAGATCAGACGGGTAGCTTCTTGTAGGTAAAAGAAACTCGGCTCCTCACAAGTCATCGGGATTGAATACCACCGTTCCTCTCCTGCCACTCGAGTAGTCCCCGAACGCATCTCTCTGCTGCCTCTCTAGCTCCTCTGCTCTCCTTCTCTCCTCGGCCTCCTGCTCTCTCCGCTTTGTGTCGACCTCAGCCTGCTCCTCAGCACTGAGCACGGCGGCCGGATCTTGGCCGGCGTCCAGCATTCTTTGGATGTCTCCCAGCGCACCGGCAGTGATCTTGCCATAGTCGGGCCACGGCACGAAGTCATATGCAGGCGCAGGCGCAGGCGCAGGCGCAGGAGGAGCGGCGGGTTCGGGGTCTTTCTTTTCTTCGGCACTCTTGGTGTATGCTGGGGCTGTGTCTACAGGCGTCGCGATGCCATTCGCGCCGACCTCTGTGGCGCCTTCCTTCTTCTTGGGCATGTGCTCGTCGGGTAGTGGTTTGCGGAAGGTGGGATTCGGAGCAAGGGTGGTGGGGGCAATGAACTTTGCATACTGGAGCAGCTCCTCGACGCCGACTTCCCTTCTGTCTTCGCAGTCAACAGAGGGAATGGATTGGATTTCTCTGCGCGTGTCGGCGAGCAGTCGAATGGTGTTCTTGATTGCGGCATCGAGCGAGTCGGCGGTGGCGCGAAGGGAAACGAGCCGTTGGTGATTCTGCTGATGTGTGACCACTGAGACGGTCAGCGCAGGCTTCTAACAAGGAAATGCGTAATGTATTCGGTATAACATAATGATTCTTGTGCATATACATACACTGCTCGATGTTGTGGTTGACAGCTTCGTCTGCAGCAAGTAGTTCTTGCGCGTCTCTGACCGACGGATTGTACGCCGCAATCGAGTCGGTGAGCTTCTGCACACTCATCTCCACGCGTGCGTAGCTAGCCCGAAATTGCGCAAACATATTGTGTGTAGCCGACGTTATGAGTGCTATTGTTAATGCGTGGAGACGCAAACGCAGACGCAGACGCGGAGAGCTTCGAGCTTCGAGGTCGGAAGTCGGAGCTTTGGCCTTCATATGCAGAAAGTGAAAGTCAATGTGGAAGCAGAATGTTCAGAATCTGCGCTATTATTGCATTTATTTCCAACATCTACGTATCGCTTCCATTATCTTGAGAAACTGGCGGACTCATCGGGTCCGAGCAAACCCAAAAACGTTGGTACCAGCTCCGCAACGTCGTCGTAGAAATCGAACATGACTATTCCCAACCGCTTGCCTCGCATCGATTTGAAAACTGGCAGAAGCTGGTCGTTAACACCTCCGTCAGGCGTCGAATTGGATCCATTTCCTAATGCCTGCATCACTGGAGTGATAGGCGGATTATTCTCCGTGTTCGAACTCGATGCGAACGTCCAGTATAGACTGTCTGGATGATCGCCCGAAGCTGCTTTGCGTAGATGCGCTTCTGTAGCATTGACCTTCCAACGTATGTTGCTTTCTGCTGTCGAATTCTGAGGAGTCAACGGCTGATAGTAATCCTCGATGTATGCTGCTGCGCCGGTCGTGTCATTGTAGATCAGGATCATGTCAGGCCCATTGTCCGTCCAATTGTTCGGCGAGAAGTGTACTCCGGGTATACTGTCCTCGTACACTGGAGCCAGTAGATCCAGGTCGAAGCGTCGGAGTAACGTAATCTTGCCTCTTGCCTGTCCAAGTGTGCCAAGCTCGCCGCGGGCTTGAACCACATACTGCCTGGCTGCAGGAGATGTCAATATAGCATAAAGCATTGCTTGAGTGACAACATCATCGTGGCCGCCTTCGTGTTGAAGGCTCAAAAACACTGCCTCACTCTTGTGCCATTCCAACCAATTGTATAAGCTATACAGCACATCGTCCACGCTTGCTGTCTCGCTCTGCAGTGCAGGTCCGTACCAGAACACGAGTTGGATCTCGTTACGTCCAATGCGTAGCGCAAGTCGAATACACGGATTCCAGAATCCAGCATGGCGGCAATACTTCTCGCTTGACATCTGTAGAAGTCTGGCCTTAGAGCAGAGACATCGGCCAAATTATTGATGTTCGCCGAGGAATAGTTCCAGGTGGCGGCATCGTGCGTTCCTGGTATGTTCATGTGGACCAGCAGCGTTTCATTGTGATATGCAGACATCCATGTTGCGGACTCAGATTCTGCTCCATAATTTACAGCAGTCGTCCCGTAGATTGGCGCTGCCTCCTTGAGCACTTTCTGCAACGCGAGATCTGCCAGCATAGAAGGCGAGTCTTCAGACGATTCTTGTTTGCGGGGACTCGGCGATAGCGAAAATGCTAGACGTGGGTCGGCAAGACTAGCAATAGCGACAAGGGTGATGAGAAGAATGGCCAGCATACTGAACACGAAGGCCAGGACGGGCGCATGGGCCCCAGAAAGGCGAGTGGAAGAGTTGCGCATTGCGAGCCATGACTAAGGAACATGGCATTGTAATTATTGTTGCATGTCGATCGTTGTGGGCTCGTGCTGCAGCAGGAAAGAAACACAGGTGATGAAGGGAAGAAGTGGTGAATTGAAGGAAAGGTTCACTCACTGCCTGGGCCCGGGCGTCGTTCTCACGCGAACATCGCGGTTCCTTCTGAAGACGTGGGCCCGGCCCCTTCTGGACGTGGGAGGCGATTGGCTTTTTGGCGTTTTTTTGGCGCTGTTCCTGGCGCAGAGCGGCAGGTCTCTCCCATCATCATCATCATCATGGCGATGGTCGCCGAATGCAGATCGGGCCAGCCAGCCAGCGTGAGCGAGAATAATATGCCATGAGCAATCATCACCAAGTTCTGGTGGTGCCTCAGGCCCTCAGCGTGTCCAGCTGGAGTGTCAGGAGGTATACACACAGACAAAGATGTGGACCGAGACGGCCTGGGTCAGCGTCAGCATGATGTGCAGTACCGAGTAGTGGTGTGCGAGTCCAATCAGATGAGGAAACAAAGGGTTACACTGAAGCCAATATTGAGCTATTAGGCACCTTTAGTCGAAGGTTTAGGAGGGCAGTTGCACCCCGTGCACGCGGCAGTGGCACCTCTTAGCGCCTTAACATATAAATAAGCTCTAATAGGTTATCCGTGCGTAAAGGATTAAGTAAATAAAAGTACGGGTAATACCTTAGTCTTAACCTATTACCTATATACGCTCACATAATAGAAAATACGCTAAATAGACCCTACGCTAGGCCGTTAGTAGTTAAGTGAAGGAGTATACTAAATTATTAGCTATATAGCTTAAACCCTATCTCTGTCTTCTATTAAATTTAGTCTTCTAATATAGTAGCTATTACCTACTAGCTACTATATATCCCTTATATATATATATTTGAAAACGGAGAGTCTAGCGAGAGGTAGGTAAAGGTCGCTAGGCGGCTATTAAGGGTTATATAGGCATAGTAGCCTATATATAATTACTCTAAGAGCCGTTATAGGAATAGCTATAAAGATCTTAGTAGAGAGCGATTATAATTAGAACTTGGTCTGTACCTTAGGCGAGGTATATGTTTAGGACTTCGAGAGTATAGTAGGTGCTTAGAAGCCTATATTTGTTAGTAAGTTAAACACTCTAAGTACTATAGCGGCTCTAGTTACCCTAATATAGGCCCTATCTAGTATTACTACCTTTCTTAATCTAGGTTTCGACTTCTTATAGAGCGATCTGTGCCCTCGCTTAGGCCCTTCCTTCTATAGTCTATTAGCTATACTCCGAGACTATTATAGTTAACCTCTACTATATAGTCTAACGCTCTTAATCGATAGTTAGACTACCTATTAACTCGGAGCTAATTAAGACCGTAGTATTAGTTCTATAGCCGTAGAATATAGTGCTTCTACGCTAGTTTCTACGCTAGTTAAGGAGCCTGTTCTACCGCTAGTTAAGGAGCCTATTCTACCGCTAGTTAAGGAGCCTATTCTACCGCTAGTTAGCACTTAGTCTTCTACCGATTAACCGTTATAAGATAATATAATCGCCGCTTCTATTTTAGAGGCCGATAGCGATAATAATACTCGAGTCTATAGCTATAGCTATCTCTCGGCTAAGAGTAAGCTTATTATTATTAAGGTTGCTATAGCGATCGCTTATAAACGTGTCTCCGGTAAGATCCGTTAGTAGAATGCCGAGCTAAAGACTATTATAATAGCTTATTAGCTAAAGGATAAGCTAGTTATTAGTAATACGACTATTATACTTCGACGATTAGTTAGTTAGCGGATTTAGGCAAAGCGTACTATAGAAGCGGCTTCTAGTACGGTTATTATAGACTTACTATAAGACTAGTTACTAAATAAGGCAATCGATACTATATTCTAGCTTAATAAGGTATAGCGAGAGAGGGTATTATAACTATAAGAACTAAGGGTCTTTAATACTCCGGTATAGAATATACGAGATAATATATTATCGATACTATCTTAGTAGTCCGGTAATAAAGTAAAAGTGCCTATACTAATACTAAGCGCTCTAACCGTACTATTTCTAGATCTAAATCTACTATTAACTCCTCGGCTTATAGAGATTATCGACTTGTTTACGCTAAGTACTAGTAATAATAGTAGCAATACTATATAGCTTACTAAGCGTCGTCGACTAGACTTCGAGTCTAAACGGCTCTAGCGTAGCTCGTAGGTATAAGGAGCTATACTAAAGGAGGTACTATCGCCTATATTTAAGATATTAAGAATACTTACTAAAGAACGTAGTATAAGGCGAATATTATCGTCTATAGATACTTCTACTATTAGCGCTAATAGCGAGGGACTCTATATACTAACTTCTACTAGATTTATAAGCGCTATCGGCGGTATTAGCGATAGACTCGAGATAAGAGTTAATACTACTATTAGAGACGTCGAGCTAAAGATAGTACGTTAATTAGATATAGTCTAGTCTAGTATCTAGGTCTTATCTATAACTATTACTTCCTTATTACTAATTCGGCCCTTACTACTATTTTAAGTAGTTACTTCTAATAGTATTATAAGTAGTTAAACGGACTCGCTAGATAATAATAACGATAGCGACGGCTTCGTAGACCTTAATACTATCGATAAGGAGGTATTCTCGTAGATAATTTAATCGGTTATAGTTAGGGTTAGGGTTAGGGTAAGGGTTAGGGTAATAGTAGTATTGTATTCTTATTACGTTCTTATTATCGAGAATATTATAATTACTTAGTTAATATCTTCTTTTATAGGTACCTATTCGAAATTATAGCTTTATTCGATACGAGAGCGCTAAGACTCTCTACGCTATATAAAATCGTAAGATCTAAGCTCGAATAGCGAACCTTATATCGACCGCTATAAGGAATAGTAAAATAGGGTAGGTATTATAGTATATAGCTCTAAGTAATATAGAAAGCCGAAACTTTATCGCTTAGTAAGCGGGCCTCGACCTTCTACGACTCGCTATATAATAACGTATTACTCCTTTTCGCTCGTTTTTAGATAATAAAACCCGTCGTATACTAAAGAATATAACGTATATAAAGATATAGAAAATTATTAATATTATTATTATATTTAAAGGCGTAAAGTATCTCGTATAATATACTATATACTAGTACGGGTATATCCGTATTAGCGCTTTCCTATATCTTCTACTATTTAATCTTCTTCCGTTATATTAAGAACCTTAATCTTATCTATCTTATAGTCTAGTATAGCCGTCCGACTATATCTAAATAAAGCGCTACTATCGAATATCTTATCGCCTATATAAAGGCTCGCTCCGAAGTCTCTACTATAGTATAGAAGGTCGCTACCGATAAATAGAGCTAAAGAAGGTATAGAAGGGAGTAGTAGGTTAGCGAGATATTTATATATACTTAGCGACCTTACCTTATATAGTCGACTAATCTTATTACTATAATAGCAAGTTAAATAATTAGTAAGTAGGGTAGTAATAATATATATCGCTCCGACCGGTATTAACTCGACTCGTAACCTATAGAAGTACTTTATTAGCTCCTAGTTATTAATAACCTCTATAAACCTCTATTCGACCGACTAGTATATAGTACTTATCTCCTTTACTACTATTACCTTACTAGCGTTACGAAACTCGCTATTTGTTGTTTTCTAACTTCCTATAATACTATCGAGGATATTATAGGCCTAATTACTATATAAGTATACCTGCTCGTCGAATAGCTATAGTAGTTAACCTAGCGGCTCGAAATAGGACTTCTAGATATCGTTAAAACTAGACTCTAATACTAAAGCCGTATCGCTATAAGAACTAGGTACTAGACTATATAGTAATATTATACTATCCGGTAGGACAATGCCTTAGTATTTAAGTCTATAGAAGTGCTTATAACTATTATAGAATAGCCGCTAGTAATAGGTCGGTCTATAGCACTTCCGTAAGGTACTATTAATATAACTAAAAACGTACTTAATATTAATTAATCCAGCTATAGCAACGGCTATCTACTACAGATATTCTTTACTTAATCGATTAAAGTCCTATACTAACCTATCCTTCTAGCGCCTTACTAATTAAGTATAACTAGTATTAAATATATACGATATCTACGCTAGACTACGGCCGAAGGTTTTATATAGGTTACGTTAATAACTAGGGTTTAAGAGCCTACTATATATAATATATAGTATAGTTATCGGCTCTACGCGTACCTTCTACGGCAATTTAATAGACTCTAGGTATAATAACTCCGCTAGTTTAATTATCTAGTCCTTCGAGAAGTGGAAGTCGCCTTAGAAATCCTCGTTAGAATATATTTCTACGCTCTATTACTTACCTCGTTTATACGACCTTAGCGGCTTATATAGCTTATTACTACGGCTCTATCTATACTAGTATTTACGCTTAGTCTTACCCTCTCGGCGAATAGCTAGATCTAGGGGGTCTTTACTTTCCGAGGCTAGAACGGCCGCCGTTATTACTAATATTCTACTATAGATAGCGATAATATCCTCTTTAAGTTTACTATTAGTCGATAGGTTAGTCGGTAGGTCGCTATAGTTGTATTCTTCTATAGTATACGGTAGTAATAGATATCCGTTCTTCTATACTAATTATAGTAAGGTCTAAGACCTAGGGGCTTCTTAGTACCGAGGCTGCTTACTAAGCAGGCATTCTATAGACGCTACGCAAACTAAGCACTAAACCTCAAATTCGCCGTTATAATAGTTATTCACTTTCCGGCACTAAAACGACGCTATTCGCGGCTTCTTACATATGAGAAACGGTTATAAAGCAAGGGCTGAAGGTGCCTATTACTGTATCGTATGAGCTATAGGTACCTCGCAGAACACTCCGTACGCTAGTTCCATCTCATGGTTGTTGTGGCAGATCGCACTGCCGGTCAGTGGTGAGCACCGAGAATTATTGTACCTCTCCTCCTCCTGCTCCTCCTCCTCCTCCTCCTCCTCCTCCTCTTCCATTCTTCCACTGCTGACCGTCTTCCACTGCTGACCGTCGACTCCATGTATCCTCGCCCTGCCCTTCCGTCCCCTTCTAATGCGTGCCCGCCGCTGCCACCTCGACTACATTGACCGCCATCCCCATGAGTGCCCTTCTCGGCGGAGCTCGCGGCCTCACGCCGAGCCGCGTGGCTGCCATATTCCTGCTTGTGCTCGCCGTGTTCCTGTTTCGCGATGCTTGGCTGCCCAGGGCACACTCGTACAAAGCCGGACAGTCTTTCACGCCACTGTCGGACAACGAGAAGAGCGCATTCCAAGCGACAGAGCTCACGCCTGACCGGGCCAAGCTTCTTACCGACCCGACTCCTCCGCCGCCGCTGCCATCGGACGAAACGGACGACGTGGTGGAAGAAACGAGTCATCAAGTCAACGAGACATGTCTGCACCTACCCGGAGCGGACAAGGTCATGCTTATGCTCAAGACCGGCGCAACAGAGCTGTATCAGAAACTGCCAACGCACTTTGTAACCACTCTGAAGTGCACTCCGCATTTCATCGTCTTCTCTGATCTGGAACAAAGCTTTGCCGACACCAAAATCCACGATGCGATCAAGCCGGTCAGCAAGAGGGTCAGGGGGAAACATGGAGATTTCAAGATGTACAGAGAGATTGCGAAATGGCACGCTGAGGGCCAGGATCTAGGCAAGCTGATGGGCGACTCAGGCTGGAATCTGGATAAGTGGAAATTCTTGCCCATGTTTCACGAGACCTTTGAGAATGCGCCAGACCACATACAGTGGTTTGTAATGATAGAGGCCGACACAAGCCTGCACTGGCTGAACCTACTGCTCTGGCTGCAATCCATGGATTCTCAGCAGCCATACTATCTCGGAGCGCAGAATGTCATAGGCGACACCACCTTTGCCCACGGAGGCAGCGGGATTGTGGTCTCAAGGAAAGCAGCCGACATTCTAGAGGCCGCGCGATACAATGCCGGAAAAGAGTTGTACGATGAGAAATGGGAGGACCAGACAGCAATATCATGCTGCGGTGACGAGATCGTCGCTCGTGCTTTCAAAGCAGTCGATATTCCCTTGACACCAGCTTGGCCGTTGATCCAAGGTGTGTTGGTTCAACATGACAAGGTCTGACACGTCAGCACGCTAACAATTGGACAGGTGAGACAATCAGCACTGTCGACTTCACCCAACATCACTGGTGCACACCACCCATGACTTTCCACCATGTCAGTCCTATCGAAGTCGACACGTACTGGCAATTTCAGATCGACTGGGCCGCAGAGCATGGATGGAGGACGCCATACCTGTATCGCGACATCTTCGAACACTTTCTTGGGCGACATGTAACGGTCAACCGAACATCATGGAACAACTTGTCCAACGATCTCAGGTTTGTCTCTGCTTCGCTTACTGGTGATGAAGACACTGCTTTCTCCGAGCTTGAATCGCATCAGCAAAGAGCAACCGAATCCGAGGAACTTTGTGCAGAAGCGTGCGTGATCGAAGGAGACAAGTGCATACAGTGGATGTTCACTCCTGGACGATGCCATCTCGGCAGAGACATCCGCTTCGGTAAGAGCGACGAGCGAGAAGATGAACACTGGAGAAGTGGCTGGATCCAAGAGAGAATCGATCAATTCCGGAAATCTCAAGAAGGCTGCAAGATCAATTGGCGCGGATGAGGTGGTGTGACAAGCTGGTGTTATAAGCGAAGACATGACAGATACCGCCATGTTGGGTGACGAAGCATTTCATTGCTGTAAGTGAGCAGTTGACTCGGTAATCCAAGTGCTGGAGCCGAAACAGACACAAACAGCGGCATTTCAGGAACCCTTAAATTATCTTTGTTTAGCTAGGTAAGGATTAGTAGATATGAAGTATATATCAGTAATTATCTTTCCAATTAGTTCCGTCAAAGCATTCCTATACAGTACGGACTCTCTTATAACGCTTTATAGTAGGTAAAATGTCTCTAAATACTAAAAGTATCTTTTAGTTTTTCTATATAGCATACATTTCTAGATAGCAAAGAGATAGTAAACAGAGGCTCTAGACCAATTGTACATAATATAGAAGGGATCTAGTACTTATATTAGTTACTATATAAAAAAACATCTAAAAACGTCTATAACTACTTATACTAGTTTATATAGATATAAGGCCTAAAAATTAGTAGGAAATTCGTAGCTTAAGGGAGAACTCCTATAGGTTTAGTCGCCTATAGAATAAGTAGTTCTAGAGATCTAATTATAAGATAAAAACTAGGAGTACCTAGTAGTACGCGGAAGCTACTATACGTATATATAATATCCTAAGACCTTAGTAGCTAATATAATAAGGCGACGAAGATAGCTAGTTAGCTAGATAAGTAATTTAGCTACTATTTACTCTTTAGCTACTACTTAGGGGTAGTTAAGCTAAAGTTATAGGAAGTGTCGGAAGTCTAATAAGTAGATTATACGCCTAGGCAACTCGTAGAAACTTAGAAACTAAAGATAGTAGGAACCTAGAGGAATATCTATACCTATAGCTATCTATACTTTCGACAAATCTCGACAAAACGTAATCCTATTAACATATAAAGACAAAACGAACGATATATCGTTTACAACGAATAACAATATTAAATAAACGATAGGGTAGGATTTATCGATATACGAACGAGCGAGATAGATATCGAGCGATAAACGACTAATTAGATCGATTTACGAACCGATTCGAACGATTATAAAGGATATATCGGCCCCGGATTTACAAAAGAGGCCTATAGAGTATATCGTCCCTACTATAATATATATACGAAAAAAAAACAGTTAGAGTTATAAAAAACCTAATAAAAGTACTTTTAGGAAAAACTAGTAGTATAATATTACTTTAGGACCGAGACTTAGGTAGCTTAAGAGCATATATACTATCGTCTCTATCCTCCTTCTAAGATATTTCAAAAGTAGAGTCTAAAGATCTAGATATATATACGAACGTATAGTGCCTATAATAAAGAGTACCTATTATAGATACGATTATCTAAAGATCTATCTACATATAGATATATATAACTCTATATCTATAGGCTAAGAACTAGAAGATACTACTTATATATAGTTAATCTATAAGTAGCTTTACTATGTCTAGGATAGTATCTATAGGTAGGAGAAACTAAGCTATATATAGACTATCTCGAATAATGCTAGTATAGGTAATCTATCTTTACTAGTATTAGTCTAACTAAGAAAACAATATCTCTATATTTTTATTTTATTAGAAGATAGAGAGTATCTATAAATCATCTATAAATATCTTTTAAAAAGGCTATTCAAACTTATTCTTTAGATACTTAAATAAGATATATATGCTATAGAAGAACCCTAATACACTATTCGTCTTCTACTATATACTATCTAGCCAAATTACTAGTAAATTTATCTAGACACTTATCTTTCGATATATAGATAAGATAACTATGCATTGTAAGATATTACTTTAGTAGGCTAACTATTATTAATAAAATATACTAATTTACCGTAGACTCTTTAATGAACTAGATATAAAAGTCTATATTCCTATAGATAAACTATTTGTCTATTAAGAGATACTATCTATTTTTTAATATAATACACGATAGATAAGAATTATCTATATATCGATAGATCTTTAAAACTAAAAAAGACATAGATTTCCTTCTAAATATACATATATTCAAAATACTTTATGTCTTAATAGAGACTTTCTTTAATAAGTAACACTAGCTACGTCCTTAGTATCTAAGATCTTTAAAATCAAAACTCTAAATTAGTTTCTCTTTTAAGACTATATCGCTTAATCTCGCTAGGAGCTTCCTTAAAAACTCTAGACTTTAAAGATATCTCTTCTCTTATTAAAAGGAAGATTAAAAACTATGCCTTAAGAAGTCCTAGATATATAGCTTAGCGAGAGATTGTTTTACGTTTTATTATTCTAATAACTAATAGAACTATATATTTTAGTTCGGGAGGATAGAGTTTATTTTAGTAGAGGAAAGATATATTAAGAATGTTTTTAACGATAAAATAGAAGAAAATATTAAAGCCAAAGCCTTAGATTCTTTATAGCTATTAGTAGAGAAAGTTTAATTACTATAAGTATAGGATATATTCTACTCTAAAGAGGCTTTAAATATTCTTAAAAAGGCATACTCTCCTACGACGAACAAGAGTTTAAAGAATATATATACTTCTTAAGTAAGTTATGGTACCTAAGACCTTTAATAATCTAAGCGACGAATACGAGTTTTTTCTAACTAATTTAATCTTATTGCTATAAAAGGCGGGGATCGCTTAGAACTAGAAAGTTTATTCTCTAATATACTTAATAAAGGTAGATAGTATAGTTTAAAAGGGAAAGAAATAATACTCTTTATTAAACATAAAAGTCTAAGAATAAATTATCTAAAAAGCCCTTAAAGCGCTTTAAAATTAAAGGTCCTTAAAGCGCTTCTATAAAGAAGTATTCGTACTATAAAAAAGATAAATACTTAGAAGATAAAAACTTTTCTAAAGATCCTTTTAAAGCTCTTAAACACTTTTATCTTAATAGCTACTAATAAACCTCTAAGAATACTAAAGAAAACGTATACTTTACTAAAACTGAAGAACGAGATAGAACAGAATCTCTAAGTAAACCGAAATATCTTTATTCGTCTAACCTCAATCTATATAGAGTAGGTAATATATATATAGCTAATATTTAAAGATAGTATAAATATAGATTTTATATATATAGATAAAATACATATAGATAGTAGATTTATATCTATAGAAAGTATATCTATACACAATAGTTAAGTGCTATAAGCTAATGTAATAGTAGCAAGCATTCTACTATAACGAGTAAGACAGGATAGCGCTATAAGAAGGCCTCTAGGCATCTTAGTATACTAGAGCCTATCTAGATAGACTCGCGAAGATCTAGGACACTACTAAGAGGTATAGAGGAGGTAGAAGTCCCTAGCTTCTATTAACTAGCTCCTCTAGGCTAAGAAAGCCCTAACCTACCCTAAGAGGGAGCTAGGCTAGTAGGGCAGGCATTTAATTAGAAAAAGAGAATTACTAGATATAAGAGAATTTAAACTCTTTACTCTAAGAAATAAAGGCCGCTACCTCTTACCCTAAGGGCCTAGCTAATAAATAGGTAGCTCTTCTTTCCTCCCTTCTCTAGAGATATATAATCACGATCCTCTACTACTAATAGAACGCGATAGTAGTATAATTAATAAAAGACCTTAGCGACTACCTACAAAAACAGAAACCTTCCTATAGGGGCTAGCAGCTAGTATCTTAGGTATAGGTTACCTTTTAAGCTAGCTATCCCCCTTCCCCTAGCCTAGATCCCTCCTATAGGAGGTATACGTAGTATACGTAATAGTAGGGGATACCTTAAATAGAGAAAAGACCCTAAAAAAGAGTAATATAGAACTCTTAATAGAGATAGGGGACCCTAGAGTAATTAGGGTTAGGAAACAACCTAGCGGATATATTACTATATTTATAATATTATAACTAGTAAAAGCCTAGCTCTAGGGGAGTAGGGAATAGATATAAGAGATATTCCTAGAAAGAGAGATATTATAGGTAGCCTATTAGATACTAGTCTATAGGTTATATATTAGAGACTATAGCCCTAATAAGAAGGAAACTATAGAAAGATTCTAGGACGATAATACTAGATAGTACCCTAACCTTAAAGTAGGAAGAACCTTCTAGCTTAAGAGCCCTAAGGCTAGGGAAGGACAAATATACTCCTTAATAGTACTCTATATATAGAGCGCTAGCTAGGTAGAGGAAATTATAAGGAAGGAACTACTAGTCTAAGGAACTATCCTCCTAGTAGAACTCTTTACCTAGTAATAAAGGATAATATAGTACCTTAACTACTAGAGGTTTAGATATATAGCTAAGTACTATAGTAAGAACCAGGTATACGTAAAATACGTAGAGGAATATAGAATAGATAAATGCCCTAGTAGTAAACATATATATAGTAACTAAAAAGGCAGCTACCCTACCTAGTCTAGGATATATAGTATAAAGCTAGCCGCCTAGGCAAAGGTAAGAGGATTTAGGGACGTAATAGTAGAGAAGTTTAGAGGGATATAGAGGAGCTATAAAGACTAGACGCTAGTATAAAGTAGGAAAATGTAAGCCGAATCCCTAGAAAAGCGGAGGAGAGAGACTTATAGGGAAATGTAAGAGAGAAGACCCCTAGAAAGACTAATAGGTACTATAAGCGTAAGGAACTAGGGAGATACCTAGACTAATAAACTTAGCTTCCTCCCCTTAAAGCTAAGCTAATAGAGGGCAATAGAGAGGGAAGATATATAAATAGTAGACCCCCTACTATCCTCTAATATTAACTAGCCCCTATATTATCTAACATAATATAAACGATAGCGCAAATAAGGCATAATAAGCCTTCTTCTAATAAATAGACCTAAAGGAAGACTATATTCTAGCAATTTAGGAGCCCTAGATTAACGCACCTATAGACAATATAGTTAAATACCTAGGCTTCTATATTATTATCCCGTAAGGCCTATATCCTAGAGTAGCACTCTATATCTCTAAGGAACTATATAAGGCTCTATAGGAGCTAAACTCTTAATATAAAGACCTATAATTAGTCGGTA